CTATGCCTCTTCCCTGCTCTGCTTTTCGTCTCTCCATATTGTCGGAAGTTTGACTTCTAAACTTCCTTCGACTAAAGACAGAGATAGAGTTGTTGTATGTTGTTGTCTCTTGAGAGCAGCCTTTGTGACAGCAGGCTGTCCATCAGCTGATCAGCTGTCAATGTATTTTTGAAGTTCGTCCTTGTCGGATGAACGCGCCACCCAGCCGCCGTCATACCAGTCATATCCACTATTGCCCAACCCAAACTTTGAGAATCTTCGAGATATGGGATGATGCGGATTGATGTTCTATGTAATATACCCAAAGGCGGCAAAACGGAGAGTGAGGCAGTCCTGGTCATTGGACTTCCTGGCGCGCAGAACCTATGGCTTCCTTTCCAGCTAAAGATGCAGTGCAGGCTGGCAAGGTATGAAATAAAGGCGTTGTCGATGATGTTGCTGCTTAGTACGCCATTGTAGAGTCTAGAGAAATGCATAGCTGCGCTCAATTCATTGATGCTTGCTTGGGTTTGGGCAGCATCAGGTCAGTTTCTCAAAGGAAATTATTTTGTAGCTACTTTGTAGAATTAGACTGCTACATTTTTTTAAAATATTGGCTCCATGCCAGAAGTGTGTTTTGTGCGGAGAATCTTTTTGAAATAGGAATGAGTGCCTTGGCCTTTGCTCTGGACATCTCTGGACAAGATCCAACCCTCCGAAAATGCTTTCGCCAGGTTGAGGCACGCGAGGCAATGACAGGCTGGTAGCTGGGAGAGCTTCGAATTATTGTTGGCAATGGCTCCCCAAGATAGTTGCACGTTTTTCATGTCTTGGAGAGCAGGCTATTCCGCCACACTTCCGCCACCTGCAAGCGTGTTTGCGTTTGTCCGCAGGAATTGTCCATTGTTTGCTTGCATGGATGATCCATTTTCAATTGTAATTGTAGCGAGTCTACACGAAAATGTTATGAAATGGTTTGAGGATGTTTGAGGCATGCCTTCTGACCAGTTGCAAAAAGGTTTGGTGACAAACTGTAGTTTGAACTCATTTGCTTCCATCTACACATATACTGTTGCACAGGAGTTTATTTGGTTAGCTTTCCTACCAACTACTCTCTGTTTGCATCTATTTGTTCTGCTGTGCTTCTATCAGGTGCTCCCTCCCTGTTTGTTTGTCCGCATTTGACCGGAGATGTCACTTTTGGCCAGACCGTATCCTGGCTGTGTTTTTTCTTTGTTTTTGCGTGAGCTTGTTCTGAAGACGGTCTTTATTTTTTTTCGATATCTCATGCCTGAACCCTTACTGATAGGTGGTTTGCAGGTTGAAATAATGTTCCTTTAACACATGCAACCAAATGCCACTATCAGGTCACTATCAGGTGAGTTCACGCTGATGAAGTGCGTTTATATATATAGCAACTTTATTTGTGGAAGCTCCATCAGTGGAATGTTTCCTGATTATAAAGAAAAATACCTTCGGGGAAACTTATTGGTTGAGGTCAAACTTTTAGCCAGTTGGCACATCACAAATAAGGCAAGCCGGCTTTGCTGTTGGACATCAACCCCCCACAGGATGTTTAAATCCTTCAAAGGCTTCGCCGTTGGCCACTAAGGCCGTGCTGAACGGAAACTTGGTTGAACGGATGTGGTAGGTTTTTGTCTGACATCAAACCTTGTAGCATCTTGTAGCGATCAAGGAGGCTCTTGTGCCTTGGTAATCTGTAGTAGTCAGACAATTCTGTGCTTGGGTACTTTCTTGCTATTTGCAGTTTAGTATATACCCTGATATACTTGGGTTTGCCATGGTTTGTCAGAATGTCATGTTTCCGATTTTAAAGAAACTGCTGCTGCCACCTTTCCTTTTGCTACCGGGGAGTAGGTGCCCCTCTTCTTTCAGCATTATATAATATGAGCCGAGTGTGTTGACCAGCTTGTGGGGCCTGTACTTGTGATACGCGTTTCGGGTCACATGTTGTGCTGGTCTGCTGGTCGATACCAACTATGACATACTATGGACTGCGTGACTTGTACTCATTGTACTATGCCAATTCTCCAAGAAATTGGTTCTTGGGACTCTGTCGCTGAGGTGGTGTCCTTTCACGGCCTTCATCGGCATCGAGCCGCGACGGAAGAGTGCATCACTCACTTTCCTGCTACATCAAAACGATTTGAAACGTGTCAAAGCAGTTGTAGGATCTTGTGGGCATGTCGGTATGCTCAAACCCCCATGCTTGCTGCATGTTCTCTTGCAGAGTCTGGGCCCAATACCGGGAGAAGACTTCCTTGATGTGCATGACCAGCTTCAGCAAAGGATATACTGCCGGGGTGGGAGTATTTGGAAAAGCGAGAAGTGCAAAGAGCCCGAGAAGCAACTCTCAAAAATAACATGTCTATACATAGTTGCAGATGACAAGGTCTATAATCATAAATGCATTACCAACTACCAACGACTTAACTTACTGGACCTATCAGCCAATCCACATCTTGAGACCTGTTGCGCACAACGTGCCCTACCTACACTTGCAGCTTAAAGCAGCAAAGCTTCTGCTTCCTGTTGCCACCATGGCAGTTGGTCTCCCAATGAAACGAGTGCTGCCAGAAGAAACGAACAGTTTCTCATAAGGAACAAACTACAATGAATAGCTGGCTTCAATCGGCTTCATTCTTGTTTTGTTTGGAGAGAACTCAGTTCAGCTCTTCAACATCGGGCAAAATGATCTTGAACCCCTCTGAGGCATTGCTGAAGCATGTGAATATATGTGAGTTAACGGTAAGCATTGAAAAACTCGTGATGTGTTCCACGTCAATGGGGTTACCCCATTCTGCAGAAGTTGCGGACTGCTTTGGCAGTCCCACTTGCGTTGTGCTTTGTTTGTGTCCCTGCGCAGACCGTTTTTTGCGCTTGGTGGCTAATCCCTTCGAACGCCTGTCAAGTCTCTTGAGGCTATCATGGATTTGTTGATCAATGATTCGGAGGATGAAACCCAGGCCAGAAATTCTGGTGCAGACCAAGTTTCCAGCATCCGCTTGTATCATGGCGTATCCGGGTGGAAATTTCTGCTACTGTACAGAATGGTAGGCCGTGGGGCCACAATGCAAGCACAGGTTTGGTCAATTTTCAGTTTCCTCAGGGCAAGTCATTTTGTAGCCATGTAGCTGTTTTGAGGGCCGGTTTGAAGTTACAAATTGTTAGGCTGGAAAAACATGTGTGTAGCACCTACAAAATGAGGCCCCCGAAATGGATGCAATTACAGGAGTGGCCATGGATGGAAAGATTGAACAGCTACAAAATGATCTACTAAGAAAACATGTTATCCTTTTTGGGCTGATTTTTGCCGTTGGACATCTCACGTTCTAGCAAACATGCGTTGATGCACCCAGACCCTGTTGTTTTTTTTTCCATTTTGTAGCAATCCAGGCCAGGGCCCGCGTTCTGTGCCAATGAAACGGTTGTGCACAAGGCCTCCCCTATATTTCTTGTAATATCTTGTATATATGGTTCAGGCCGGCAACACCCCCCCCCAACGTCATGGTCATGGTCCTGTATGTACGGTGTACGCTGTATGTACTCTATTGTACGCTGTATGTAGGAAGCTCTATGTAAGATATAGTTTACACCCCCTCCCCATGCCCCTGTGGGATGGGTGGGGGCTAGGTAGTGTGATGTAGTGTGTCACTAGCATGTAAGGCAAAAAGTTTGTGTGTGTATAATATATATATATATACAGGTTGTATGTGGCTCCAATGCTCCACGCCCCCGTATCGGATGGGTAGGGTGTTATAGAGGCATCATGTAGATAGTGTATAGGTAGTGCGTGGCCAGCATGTATGTATAGCACATGAGATCTTGACAGTAGCTAGATGTGGCTACTTCATGTGCAGTACTGTAATACGTTGTAAATAGCATGATGCACGGTGTAGCTTGCCCCCACGCTCCGGGTGTTATAGAGGTGGTAGTACGTGGCCAGCACGTTTGTATACCATACGATATCTTGTAGCTAGTATATGGCCACTATAAAGGAACTTCATGGGCAGTAATACGTTGTAAATAGAGTGTCTTAGAGTGATGTAGGGCCTAGGGTGTAGCTTACCCCCACTCCCCCTCCTGTGGGACGGGTGGGGTTTTTTGGAGGTATCATTTAGATAGTGTGTGGGTAGTACATGGCTTGCACGTATGTACAGCACATGAGATCTTCGCAGTAGCTAGTATGTGGCTACCTCATGGGCAGTAACACGTTGTAAATAGCGCGATGCGAGGTGTAGCTTACCCCCATGCCCCCCTGTGGGATGGGTGGGGTGTTATAGAGGTACCGTAGTAGGTTTCGGCCGGTATCAACTGAAGCTAGAGACCCTGTTCTTTCAAAGCAATGGCAACCACGCTTTTTGGTTCCTTCATGGACTGCTCAGTGTTCACTGGGGTCATTCAGCTCACTGACTCCTTTGGTGAGTTTGCAAGGGCCATCGGATCCCTACAACACACCAATACTTTTGTGTCAGACTGGCCTGCCCAATGCCAGAATAAGGTTGTACGACTATGAGGCATCATTCGAAGGTGACATTTTGATGTTGAGCCCTATGGCATCCTCCTCGTTTTGCAGTGCTCCTGAACGAGGTGAAGGTTTGCTTCCTCAGGCCATTGAGCTGTGCGCCGGGATGGTGGCATGGGCATTCGCATTGAGTATTTGGGGGGCATTGTTTGCGCCTCAGTTGACTGGAATGCATTTGCAGTTCAACATGTGGAACGTAATACTGCAGGACCAGTGTTTCAGATGGACATCCATGAACTTGCCACAGTGAAGACAGTTCATCAAGCATGCCCTCGAATTGGAACCACTACTTTGGGGTTTCCACGTCAGCCTCACTCATTTCAGGGCAATCGCCTTGGTTCCGCAGATCCCCGTTTCAACACGTTTTGGTCAGGGTTGAGATTCATGTCTTTAACCCAGACTCAGACAGCGATCTTGGAATGTGTCCCAGCAGCAGGCTGGAATCAGGAAGTTTTGTCAGGTTTGAAACAACTGGCAGCAGCAATGGGTTGGCAGATCCTCACAACCCAGCTTCATCTTCATGAACGCTGGCCTAGTCGTCGCAGCCGCTGGTGAGCAATTCTACTTCCCACAGACTGGCATACTGTTGGACTTGAAGCATGGCAACCTTCCAACACCTTTGCCAAAGTTGGTGATCTCCTTCCCACTTGGGGAGTATTGCCAGATGAAGATGAGCTTGCACTTCTCCTCCAGGACCATGAACTTGCAGCATACCTCGATCCTGGTCTGGGTGCAGACAAGCGTACTCTTGAAGCCTCAGATGTTGCCAGTACCATCTTGCACTCTTATGGAAATGCGCTCCGTGCTTGCCCATGCTTGTGTCGCCCAGCTGCCTTCGATCGCGCTACTCTTGTTCAACGGGGTCTTCGTGGATTTTTTGTCGGCTCCCAGAAGTTCCAGAAACCACGATTCCTCCACCCAGAAGAAGCTGCATTGTTGCTTGGACTTCCAAGTACCATCAATCATCATGAAGATGTTCGTGCGGCTCTTTCTCTACTTGGACTTGCTGCGTCACCCATCCAGATGGTCTGGGTCTACAGTCACCTCAAGGAGAATGTTCAACGTGCACTCCAATTGACACCATTGCCTGCCCCAGACTACTGGTTGGAGCAATATTGCATGGGTCTTCTTCGACAGGTACAACCACCTGGCTTGCTTCACACCCAAGACGCTGCTGGAGGTGAACTCAGCTGTCAAAGAGCCGCAGGAAGCACAACACTTCACCTTCTTCAAGCACAGCGACTTACCATGCACTGGAATGAATCCAGCAGTGTGCTGCACCAGGAAGTTCGTCTTCCCCTTGATCACCTTCTCCCTGCAGCTTCCACAGTTCAACTTGAACTGCAACAAGGCCCGACCACTCGGCCCCAGCCACACCAAGCCGTCATCATTTTGGTTCACCATCAGGACCAAGCCCATGTCCTTTTGGCCACGGCTGGCCAGTTTCTCTTTGAGCTGCTGACACCCATGTCACTGGAATCAACTTCTTGGTGGATGATCATGGCACGCTGTATGGAGCCGATCACAGAGTGTGGCAACCATTGAAGCTCCACACCTTGGCCTTGGACTTACGGCCCCCTGCTCTGCCTGGATTTTCGGCATCAGGACCTTTTGACTTGGATTTTGGACTTCACTCTCATGGGGTGTGGCGCGTTGCGAATTGGATGTGTGGGCTTCAAGGTACTACTTTGCAGCTCAGCACCTACAACACTCCTGCGCTGGCCTTTCTTGGACTGCCTTTCTTCCACCGCTGTGGCTGCATCTTTGCTGCAGATCATCATTGGGCACTTTTTTGGGGAGAAGGAGACCATTCTCATTGGACTGGGACTTATGTTGATGGTCTCCCAGGCAGTCTACACGTTCACGCTGAACGGCTGGCTTCCTGTCTCTCTACCTTGAAGGGACATCTGCACTGGACTTTCGATGTCTCTTCGATTTTTCCACATGAAGCACCATGCACTTGTGGTACGATTGCCCTCCTGTTTCTGAAAGTCTTCCTTGGACTTTCAGTTCCACACAGTCCCAATGTGATCTTGGATTTGCGTCACTTGCTCCTTCGATCACAGCCAGCCATTTGCCGCAGCTCTGAGCTCCTCATTGGATTGGGTCCCTATCCAGTTGCTGTTCTACTACAAACCAAAGGGTTCCAGCTTCCAAAGCTCCAGAGCGAGCAGCGGCTGCTGTGCAGAAACTTGGAGCTGCAGCCGATCAGGCTGCTCTGCAGCAAAAGAACCCTCGGAAAGATCTCAAGTTGTTGACAACGAAACCTGGCTTTGGATTCCAGCTTGTGAACAAAGATGAACTTCAACAATTCATCGCTCCGAAAGCAGCTGACCAACATGGGGCAGTCATTTCCTCTAAGAAGAAGCAGAAGCCACGCAAACAAGAACGAGCTGGTCCTTCGTCTCGACTTCCAGATCCCCAGCAACTTCAAATCCTGCCCGGTCACTTTGTGGACACAGACCAGGACCAGGTGGTTCCAATGTCTGCAGATGTCACGAATGCTCGAGGCAATGCCGTCTGCTCAAAGATGGAAGCTCTCCCCTACAGCACAGATGCGTTGGCACTTCTTGTCCTGGAGTCCGAGGATACCCCTGTTGATCAACGAGGAAGGGCACTGATTTCCACACTGCGGATTTAGTCACCTTTTTGCCCACGGCTGACCCGTTGCTGATCAATGGCTGCCTCCTTCAGCTGGGGGACATTGCAGTCTCTCGTCATGATGTTGCTGATCCCATTGACGACATGGATGTCACGGTCACATATGGTCACCAGCATCTTGAAGGTTCAGCTTTATCGTGATGAACTGGTGCCACTTTGGACTTCTGTGGCTTCATCACCGATCAAGCAGGTGATTGCCATGGCTCCAAAACTTCGCAAGTGCACCAACCTCAAGTGCGACTTCAAATGTGGGCTGTATCATCTGGCAGTTGAAGAAAGCTTTGAGCAGGTGATCCATGAAATCTGGGGGCGTCGTTTCCCGACTCTTGAAGGGCAGATCAAATCAGCCGATTCTGCCGAGATCTTCCAAGCTTTCTGAATTGCGATTCCTGTTCTCCCTGAACTGCTCAAATGTGTGGTCAGGGCTGAAGCTACTCGATCCACCGATCCAGACTACTCTGCCATCTGGATCCCAGGGGCCAATCGTGAAATGGCCCACCACAAGTTGAAGACCATGTCGCATGGACTTTCCTTGGTGCGGATGAAGCGAAGGTTTGGAATCCGGGTGTCAACAACCTATGAAGAAGCTGCACATGCCGAACTTCGACCTGGTGATAACTTCATCAAGGTCACTGTGGCCAAGGTCTACAGAATCCACCCTTTGCCGCATGGATTTAAAGGCATCGCGTGGCATATCGGAGGGTGGGGCCTGGGACGTTGGCCCCCCATCAAGTGTCCTTCCATGCCTTTGGCAAAGATGTCCTGTTGACACTGATCAAGGACAAGAACGAGCCAGAAAAGGCACCAGCCATTGTGGGACCACGACGAGTTCAGGCACACTTGCGTGCTCAACCAGCTTCTACAGCTTCTTCTTCCTCAGACCCATGGCTCCAACCAGCGCAAGACCCTTGGCAAACTTTCATGTTGAACAGGGCGACACCCTGAACGGAGAAGGCGACCTCTCGATTTGACACTTTCGCCAATCAAATCAAAGCAGATGTCACTGCCAAAAGTTCAAGAACAGTTTGCCTCAGAAGCTCAGGCCAGTTCGGCATCTCAATATGATAATATGATCACCGATCACCGCCTACACCGCAGCTTGAAGTTGGTATGACCGAGCTGCAACAACAAGCAGTTTGGCGTTTGGTTTGCAGAGACCGGCACTCGACTCAATGCCTAAGATGAGAAGCTAGTTGCACTTCAAGGTCAACAGCAACAGCAACAACAACAACACCAACAGCAGCAGCAACAGCAACAGCCGCAGCAGCAGCAGCAGCAGCAGTCGGACATCACCGCAGTTCGAGCTGAAGTACATACCTCAGCCGAAACCCTCCATCAAGCCATGCAGATGAGCTTTTCCAGCATGCTTTCAGATTTGGCTGGAGATATCTCCAATACCATCACCAATCAGATGGAACGCTTGGAGACAGCCTTGACCTCCAAGAAATCCCGCCATGAACGACTAGGGCAGCATGGGCTCTCCAAGAGGGGAGTGCCATGTCAGTCATGGATTTTTCCACCGTTTCTTTGGACTTTCATTTTCTTTTGGCAAATTCAATTTCCAGTTCCAACATCCTCTTCGGCACCTTCGGCCGGCTTTGTCACTTTCTTTGGTGATCTTGGAGTTGGTCATGCGGCTCATGGTGATGTCAATCTAGCTTTTCCTACTGCAATTTTTCGCTGGGGTGAAGCACAACATCCAGGACCTGACAATCTCAGCGTGTTCCAGGTTGGATCCTACAGTGTTGTCACCTTGGGCAGGGCATTTTCCAGTTTTTCGGAGACCCAGCTCTCCACCATTACACAGAAAAGCTGCGCCAAACAGTTCCGCCACCTGGCCAGCCAACAGAATCGACAAGTGCAGCTTCATTTTGGCGCCGCCGTCCCAGCCAGGACAACCTCAGACTGGGCCGGAGGATGGAGTGGGGCGGCCCGGGGCGGCTACTGTTTCTGACTATGCCTCCCAAGAACTCAGGTTACCCTATGCTGGTGAACGTGAGTGTGGGCGAGCTCTCGTCACCAGACATGTCCTAGGCTCTACATCTTTTTTGAATACGGTGATTTATGGATACCCCTCGAGGCCCGACATGCCATCACTTACAGACTTGAGCTATGGACTTGTATTGTGAACTCCCCTGGGTTTACGGGAGGTTTTCGGCAGTGAGCTGCCACTTGCTCCACCGGAGTCTGGTGTGGCTGATCAGATTTTGTGGCCTTCAAAGAAGCCTCTGAGCAGCTGGAGTCATGGCACCTTCGCCAACGCTCCCTCCTGCTGAAGCACAAGCGTGACAAGGGCTTGACTGGACTGGGCTTTACCCAGATCTCCGGCGACAACCCCAGGATCGCTTGGACTTTCTCCACAAGACCTATACAGTTATGGTATCCTGGCAGTTGAAGAAACACAGGTTCATCTTGATGAGGCCTATGCCGCCTTGGGCTCCTCCCTCCCACTGGAATTGTGCTGGGCAACCTTTTGACCCAATTCTGGTCAATGAAGTTGTCATTGATACTGGACGGGCGGACGGGCCTGTGAAGTTGGGGATGTCATTGGGCAGCACCAAACCATAGCAGATGTTCTCACACTGCATGCGCGTCTATCTACTTGCGTATTGGAAGCCAATTAAATTGGTGTGCCATGGAAGAAGTTGATGCAGACTGGCGACGCATACTCGACTTTTTTCGGGCGTTTGTGCCTGTTCTCCCTCTTGAGTTGCCAGGTCTTGATTTGGTCACTCGGAAGCGAGCGCTGCGGCGCTTCAAATGCTGCCAGGGGTGTTGATGGCATTTCCCATCATGATCTTCTTGCTCTACCAGATGCCTGGACAGAGCGCCTATTGGAGTTGTTGGGCAACATCGAGCTCCTCACCGCAGGCCATATTCTTGGGGGTTGTCAGCGTGATTGCTAAAGATGCTCAAGCTTCCATCATGGACAGGTTCCGGCCACTTGTGATCTTCTCGATCATCTGCCGGACTTGGGCTTCTTTGAGATCACGCCAGTTGCTTCGTGCTCTCTCTCCTTATACGGATTGTGAAGCTTATGTTTTTTTGCCCGGCTGCAAAGCTGCACAGCTGTGGACCATCCTGCAAGGAGAAGTTGAATGCTCACTCCAAGGAGCGCAGCCTCTTTGTGGGCTTTCCACTGACTTGATCAGAGCCTTCAACAATATACCTCGGCAACACACCTTTGCTTTGGCTCAACACCTTGGCGTTCCCAGCAAAGTTTTGCAACCATGGCGGTTGGATCGTGTACACGTTCCTTTGGGCTGCAGGGCACTTTGAGCGATGCCACAACTTCAACTTGCGGTTTGCCGGAGGGAGATGCATTGAGTGTTTATAGTTTATGCAATGATCCAGCTCAACTTTTCCTGGCACATTACATGAGGGCCTTTTGTCCTTCGGTGCGAGCACTTAGCTTCGTTGACAACAAGGCCCCTGTTGCCCACGTGCCAGACTTGCTGGCAATGGGACTTGCTTGCTTGGTGGAATTCTTTCGCATGTGGAACCTCCAAGTTGAGGCTGCGAAGTCTTACTGCTGGGCCCTTCATAAAGATCACCGGTATTAACTCCTTACGTTTCCATTCAAATGTGTTGCCTCGGCGCACGAACTTGAGGGCATCCTGTCATTTAGCAAACGTGGCAGTACAGGCCTCCAGCAGAAGCGCCAGCAAGCACTTGAACCACGCTGGCAAGCATTGAAGCGTTCCTGGGCGCCACTGCGACAAAAGTTGGCTTCCATCCCGGCCATTTTTTGGCCATCAGCACTTCATGAGATCTATGGTTACTGTTTTGCTGATCACATTGACAAGCTGCGATCGCGAGCCACCTTAGCACTGCAGTCGCAAAGCCGGGTCAAACCCTGCATTGAGGCTGACTTTGTCTACTACACCACAGGCAGAGCCAGCTCTTTGGCGAGCTATGCAGCTCATGCAGACATTTCGCCGGGTTGGAGCCAAAGAACCTAGATTTCTGATGTTTTGACAGCTTTCTATGCGTCAATATCAGGGGGATTTATATAGTGGCCCTTTTTCTCAATTTTTGCATGTCACCAATGAATTGGGATGGCACGTTCAGCCCCCTAGTTCATTGACCATGACCCATCATTTGCTGCGGCTCAATTCCACGGCTCTATCAGCACTGGTTCTTGATGCCTGGCGCTAAGATGCCGCTCGACAAGTTCAGCAGCGAGCAACAATGAGAGACTTGCAAGGGATTGATCCAGCACTTGCATATTCACATGGCTCCACCTTGAATGCGCTGGAAGCTTCCTTGCTGAGTGCTCTTCAATCAGGTGCATTCTTGGAGCGTGCGATTCACAGCAAGTATGACTACACTAAGCCCAGTGACTGTGCCAATTGCGGCACATCGGCAAGCCATCGAAAACTGGGTAGACCATGACCCAGTTGACACTCAAGCATTCGAGAACTTTGTTGCCATCCAGACCATCCTTTTTCGCACCATGGAAGCATGCTCTCGCTCAGATTGATGGCGTGGTCCCTTGCAAAGGACTCCCTTCAGTGCAAGGCGTGCAACATGTTTTCATTGATGGCACAGCAGAATGTACTGGAACTCCGTTTGACTTGGCAGCTTGGGGTTGCGTCAATGCCATGTCTGGTGCAGTGGTGGCCACGGGACCATTGCCAGGTCTTACCCAAAACAATGACAGGGCTGAGCTGTATGCCATTCTTCAGGCTTCGCGATGGCAATCTAGTCAGCAGGTGGATGTGCATCTCTGGATTGATGCCAAATGGGCGGCCGATGGTTTTCAATACCTGCACATGCATGGGTTTGCTGGCAGGTGGGCACACCAAGACCTTTGGGAAGACATAGGCGCTCAACTTGGAATGTCTCCAGAGTTGCCTCCTTGTTCCACACTGGATTCCCAGCCACTTGAATGCCGATGATATGGAAGATGCTTGTGAAGAGTGGGTTCGGCATCACAATGACTGGGTGGATCGAGTTGCGGGGATCACCAATGCGAATCGTCCACATGCTCTTCTGACTTTGCAGGCTGGGGCCATTAGCCATCATGTTTCCGTTGCCAATTTTTTTGTGTTGCTAGTCAGCCGAAGACTTCTGATGCCGGTGAGATTAGCACAGATGCAGTGGTTGAGCATAATATTGAAACGCAGTTTTCCTCTACTGATTGACTGCATAGCGAACATCGTCAGGAGCTGCTTTTGTCCATGCCAGATCATGCCAAAGTTCCAACACTGTTTGTTTCCACACATGCGTTGGCTTGATGATCACACTGATGTTGATTGCGATGTTTATGATTTGAGTTTTGAGGAGCTTGCTTTAGCCCTCGCAGCCAGTGATTTTTCATTTCCGCTTTGGAAACCCCAGACCGGACGGATGGAACTCGTCTCACTTTCCACCCGGTATGAGAAGGCTACTTTGTCTTATTTGTTTTTTTGCATCCGGCAGTCTTTTCGTGTTTTGCGGTCTTGCTGCGACGATTTTGATGCTGTGCTGCTTGACCGTCACAACAAAGTGCACCTTGGGGTACACCGCCCGTGTGGTGGATTTTTTATTCGTTGGCTGCCTGCCACCATTCAATTGGCTTGCAGCCAATTAATTGCCTTCACAATGTCCCGGCCCATCCGCAGACCGAATGATTTGGCCAGGCCGGTGGGCTAAGACCAAAGACTCGGACGGGCGGCACTGCTGCAGCTGTGCCTCTGCTCCGCATGAATCTTCGAGCTATAGAGGTACCGTAGTACGTGGCCAGCACGTATGTATAGCACATCAGATCTGGATAGTATAGCTAAGCAGCTAGTATATGGCTACGATAAAGGTACTTTATGGGCAGTCATACGTTGTAAATAGACTGTATGGGCATTTAGGCAGTAGTGAACACTGCATGGAGGTATCCTGTTATGCAGCGTATAAGTGGCACGAGGCCAGCATGCAAGTATAGCATATGAGATCTTGACAGATGGTCGCAGATGGCGAGGCCACCCGCATGGGGGTGGTTGCTGGGGGGATAGCATTGGGGGGGGCTGCCGGCCACCGGCCGGGACCATATATTTGCCGCCAGGTTGCAGCACCGTGCATGTGGCCAAAGGTCTGCACCACAGATCAATCAGCCCCAGATTCCCATGTTTTTCATTTTTGTTGTTGTGCATCCACAAAAGGGAATGCCACACTGTAGACAGAGCCGCCCTGGATGGCCGACCAGCAGATTGCAGATGAATGCGATGGTTCAGATAGATGTATAGAAAGTGTCACGGGCCATGTCGCACAACTTCCGAATTATGCACTGCAAAAAAGTTGCAGCGCAGGGTCAGCACAGTAGATCGCTGATCCGGACGATTTTTTGCAGATCCGCTCAGGCACCTGCATTGCAGGAATGGGCCGAGATACTTTTAGCCGAGGTGCCAAGCAGCTAACTTTCGGTGACTGCGCATGTTTGATGATCCTCAAAACTGTTACTTGGGAAAGAGCAGGCTATGGATTCCAGAAATTCACTCAACATCAGGCAACTAGTTTAAAGTGTGTTTTGTGCTGGCTTTGTTTCAGCATGTGCCACATGAGATAGGCTGCCCTGGTGCACAGGAGTCACCCGCATCCCCGCGTCCAGCTCCACGCGGACAGGCCGGGACCAGAGATTTCAAGCCGGAATATCTGGAATTTCGGAATGCCTGATGCCATGTCCAGTGCCATGTGGCTGTCCCTGCCCAGGTTTCTTCACTCCCTAACACCCGCGTCTTGTGGAGTCTCACTGTATTTGCAGTTTCAATCTACTGTACTAAGTACTACTGTTCGTCTGTATTTTTGATTAATACTGTATGAATTGTATGAATATATGCATGTATACAATTATATATATATATATATACATATTTTTAGACAGACATACATACATACATACATACACACATACACACATACATACATACATACATGCATGCATACATACATACATATATATATATATAGACTAGATATATGTGAATTGAGAACAAAAAATGTGTTGATATCTTCTAATGATGTACTATGTGACAGTGCGAACATCACAACAGGTTCGGCAGATTACTCACGAGGTGCATCAGGACAAATAGAAACCATGCATATGGCATGCGCATCGAGCAGAGCAGCCCTGGCAGCATTGTCATAAAGTGGTAACTGGCCGCTAGATTACCCGTGTCAGGCCATATGTGAGCTTCAATGTTTTTTGTCGAAGGATTAGCTTCAGTTACTTTCAGTTACCACTTTAGGTCTTTAACACAGCTGATCAAAGTTGAAGACCTCCTGTGTTTCGGTCAATTTGTTGGGATCGACTCCGTCTTTCAACTTTGGGCTGTTGCGATGTGGAGCCTTGAGGACCTTGCAGACGACAGCCTGTTCCATTTGGATGGCAAAGACAAGAGCTGGCCCATCGCTGAGGGGGCCACATTCAAGCAGCCAGCAAATAAGTACAAATCAAATCTGTACACGGTTGGTTTGATGTGCTCTAGCAGTGCGAGTGTGTGTGTGTGGTTGTGTTTGTGTCTTTGTGTGTTTGTGTGTGTCTTTGAACAGCAAAATGTGCCAAAGCCACTATCCCATGTTGAAGTTGTACCGTCTGAATGCTCTTATCTTCACAAAGTGTTCATGACTGAGTAGTTGCAGCCGCTATCTTTTGGTCTCAGAGGTTCCTTCAGAAAGGCGGTGTCAGCTTCAACCGACCAAATGCCGGAAGGTCTGGGACCAAACAGGAAACTTGCAGGCAAAATTCAAAACCCCTATATACACGGAAATAGATACCTGCGAACTAGTGGAGTATTACATGCCAACGGCTTAGTTGCATGCTTGGACTGAAGTGCCGTTTTTCCATTGTCAGTCCACCGGCTGGACTTATAATGAATGACAACAAGACAGTGAGCAACACGGGGACGAATAAGTCAAAGATAGAAAAATCTTAGCCTAAACACGGCATGTGCGTAATTCTATTCGAGTAGCTTCGCGACGAGTACCGCCCGCATCCAAAGAATTGGATAGACAGGAAATGTGCTGGCTCTTGGAGCAACTTGACCCCAACTTCGGTCTGGCTTGCGCCGACCTCGGGCCAGTTGGCTCCAACTTGGGCCCAACTGGGGTCCAACATGGCGCAACGTGGGCCGTTTGAGCACAAGTTGGGCTTAACACCTGTGTGTGTGGACTGGCGCCCAAGTTGGTCCCACGACAGGCCCAATGTAGGGAACCCAAACATTGGGAATAGAGCGGCAAAAATGCAAGTATTCAGGGTGTCGCATTGAGTCCGCAAAATTTGGCGTGGGTTGGGCCCAGCTTCGGCCCAGGCTGCCCGCCCAACTTGGCCCAACTTGTTGTGCCAACTGGAGCCCAAGTTGGTGCCAATTAAGATGCTTGTACCCAAATAGAATGGGGGGGAGAAGCCCCTTTTAAAATAAAAAAAATAAAATAAACTGAAAATAAAATGGGTCAGACCCCGGCATTATTTCGATTATTTTGGGGTTGCATTTTATTTTTTGAGGTGCCTAACCCATCATTAACTTCGAAAATAGGTTGGGCCCCCTCATTTTCTATTGCCTTCCTTGGCCAACAAAAGATACACTGGCAGCTTACAGCAGCGAATGAGATTTCTTCAATTTATTTATATTTATTTTTGTACCTGTCCATTGTGTTTTGCTTGGGTTTTCCTATCTTTCCTTATGCCCTCTCATTTTATTGGCATTTTGTCCTTAGGCCCCTACATTTTATTCTAATTTATTAGGTGCCTCACCCCACCCCCTGGCAAGCAAGGTAATTAAGTATATTGGGCTGAAGTTGGACCCAAATCGATCCAAATGGGCCCGTGGATGTCCGGGTCATGTTCAACATGGCGCAACTTTGGATAGCTTCGCGCCAAAGTGGTGGCTTTGAAGTGTCATCGATACCAAAACGTGAGAAATACCAGCGAAAACGCGTCATGTGCCCCCGTGTTGGGCCCACGCGGGCCGCAACTTGGGCCGAAGTTGCAGAAAGGGGCACAACTGAGGTGGTGCCAGTTCGAGCCAAGTGCCCCGGCTTGAGCCGATGTTGCAGTCACATGGACGATGTTGAGCCGATCTGCAAAATGCCACAGTCCCGTGCACTTTTTGGCGCCCTGCTCGGTTCGAAAATGGCTCCAATACCCCGCCTCGGCACCTTCGGTGCGGGCAGATTTGAGTCTTATCAGATCATATCATATCAGATCCATGTCTATATATATATACATATATATTTGTATATATATGTATCATATATATATATATATAATTATATATACATATGTATATTTATATATGTTTTATTTGCTTATATGTTATATATATATATTTATATAGATAGATGTTTTATCGATAATTTTAATTACCTCTGCATATATGACACTACTGGTGTATATATATAATATTCTATAATATATTTATATTGTATCTCTATATATATATACACACCCTTTGTGCTTCCGAAGAACTTGCAGAATTGTTCCCCAGGTTCCGCTTAGATGTGACCTTCCGTGGCAGCCGCTTTGGAGATGACTATGCGGAGTCTGGATGCTTGGGAGATCATTGTGACTGACACGGGATAGGAACCGGAAAGAACTGCACGTTCTTGGTTACAGTAACTCTTGTAGAGATGCATTGTGGGTAGTATTTTCGGAATTATCAAAGGCAACAAGTTGGCTCTTCCATCCTTCATCAGATGTCGGCAAAGGTTGAGTAGACTGGAACAAGCCAACACGACGAACTGGCTCATTGCCATTGGCGTTGCTACAAGCTCAATGAGTTCAATTTTGATGTATTACATGTCCTATCTTGCAGTTCGGCGGCGCGAAGGCCTAACAATACGTAACAATAGCAAACAGCAAACATGTTTTTTGGTTTCGTTTCAGAGGTTCCTTGTTCTGTGCATTGTGTTTGTATTCAAGAGTCCCAGAATGTCCCAGAGATTTCAGGGGAAGGATTGACATTGAAAACTCAAATAAGCTGAATGCTTAGGTGTTTGGGGAGAAAGAGCTCACTGGCTACGAGGACTTGCTGTCAGAAGAAAAGCACTCGACAATTTTTTCGTGACAGTTCTGTGAGTTGGGATGGGTTGTAGAAATTTCTGGAAGTGAAATGTAAGTTCGCCAATATGTTTGCATCCCAACGTGACTTCTTCATGGTTTAAACATATTTTTGCACGTTTTGGCTATATATGGCGCTTGGCAAAGCCTATCTGCCCTTGGGATACTTCAGGACAGCAAGACGAGCGGCTTCTATTTCATTTTTCATTTGAACTATCGTCGCACTCGCTGGCGCATCATTGCAAGCCCACACGATGCAACAATACAGGAGCCAATCTGGTGTCTTGCAACTACTATGACACTCACATGTCCATTCTGTCCATTCCACTTTGGGTTTGATAAGATGTGTTCTGTATCCTGTTGCTTCAATTGTCTTCTGAGATTTGTTTGCTGCTTTTGCACACTACACCACTGTTCGTTCCAAACAAAGGATCAGATAATGCATGGCATGGCAAGGTGAGCTGTCAGTTGTGTCACTTCCAAGCGGTTCTTCGCTTCAGGACGCCAGTGGCAATCAGTTTCATTGTGATCCTCAGGTGGAGATGGGACGACGCCCCGCGCAGCACTTGTGTTTGCCTATGTTGATAGTAACGTGCTATACAGTGCTGGAAGACATGAAACATTATGAAGTATTACTGTTAGGAATGCAACTGGCACAAAGTGTGAATGGAGATGTTTGCAGTTTGGAGAAGATTCTAAGTAAGATGTCTTCCTCAGCACATGCCCGTCATTCCTTACACGGCTCAGATCCAGGCTGATGGCCAGTTTGAGATTGATGCCTTCGAAGGGCAAACTCTGTCCGCTACTGAGAGCTTTGTGCATTTTGTGACTCTCAACTAAGCTGCTGTGCTGATCCATCTGATCCTTGAATGCGTTTCTTGAATGCCTTTCTCAGGTCCGTTGAGTTCATCAATCACGAGCTGTTTGGATTCTAGTCTGCTGCGTTTTGGATCCTTGAGACACAGAGGTGCTCGAAACAAAATCTGTGTGGTGCCTTTTGTCTGACACTAGAGCCGGAAGTTCAATCAAACAGAATCAAACAGAAGTGTATTGGATGATTTGAACAAAGGAGTTATGTGACTTAGGTGGATAACTGAAGGAGCTGAGCGAAAAGCGCTTGGCATTTGGGCAAGATGCTCAGACCAGCCCACAGCATGCAAAGAGACGGGCTGCTCCAAGACTTCTAGTGCTTGAAAGAGTATCCGGCACACCCCACTCTTCTGATCCCCATTTGCTATTGAAAACAAGCATCTTAAAAAGAAAAAATCTTGCGGTCTATCTTCGAATATTTCATTTCGCCCCAATCCAGTAGGGAGACTGGTCTTCCCTGTTCGAGCTTGAGGCTAATCAGAAATTGCCAGCAGGTGACTTCTTTCCTGCAGTGCAGCACTCAGTTTCAGAGTTCAGATTGCGAAGCGGTGCCATGCAAAGTCCATGCAAATCCATGCAATGTCTTCTCAGATCATGCACTCTTTCGCGAAGTTTGTAGTGTTTCTGTACTAGTACCCTATTTTCACACCCTTTCGGTTGCCCATGTTATCAGCATCACTTCTATTAATCCTGCAGATCAGACGGAACAAAGTCAACCGTCTTTGATGTCTGGCGTTTTTCCATGTTTTTCCCAGGTGCTAACTTCAAATTGCCCAAGCCTTTTCTCGGCCAAAGTGCTGTGAGAATCCGTGAGGGGTGAAGCATTCAATTGAAAGGCACTATGCTGGAGATGTTTTGTTCATGCATTGCTTGCAGACAGGAAAATGCAGACGTGTTGGCAGTCCAGGGCCATGTGAAGAATTCCCAGCCGTGGTAAGGCGTTTAGTTGAAAAATGAAAAGACACGCAGAAAGAGCGGCCCTCGAATTTGTAAGGACATTCCATTTCGGACCATTACTTCACTGTAGTAGCTGCTGACAATCTGTAGTTCTTCAAAAGCATTTGTTTCGCTGAACACGGAATTGCAGGGGAAGCATTGTCTATAACTGTTGAAGAAATGTGCCAGATATCACAACTAACTATCTTTGTTTCATGTCGTATTGCTTCTCCTCGGTTTGCAATCTAATCAATCTAGCAACAAGGGCATGGGGACGTGTAAGTCACGCTAGTCAGGTTGTGGCATTGTTGGGATGTATCTGGATGTGCTGGTTTAGTTGGAGTTGCTTCTCTGAAGGTGTCCTCACAGTTTTCATCAGTTGCGGAATAAGCCTGAGGTGGGATTCCAGAATTCCCAGGCGCTGCAGCCACCATTGTTGGGGAATCCCAGGGCACCTTTGAAGCAGAGTGTGAATGAGCCGAGGTTGGAAGACCTTCCGACCTTCGACTCTGCATCTGTGAAACTGCTTAATTACAGATCTTACAGCATCTTACAGCAACTCTGAGGTTGGTACTACCCAATGAATTGCATTCAAACAAATTGATGCTAAGCTGAACTCCTGTAATAGACCAGAATATTTTAATGATTTTAAAATATGTTTAATGTGTATATATCATATATATATGTAAATATGTAGATAATCAATAAACTAATCACCTACTGCAGGGATGTGTTCATCAAGGGTTTGACGTCGTGTGTTTCACGCGAGGCCCCCTTCAGATCGCGGCCCACAACATTTGCCTCGTCGTCCTTCTCGGTCCAAGCTCGGTGAGGCCAGAGATTTCCAAGTCTTGAACATATTAGAACTGTCACATGGCGAACTGTGGGACCCCAATGAGACCATAGTGGACCCCACATGTCCTTCACATTCCTTCACCAGTCCATGGGTCAACAGCAGGTTCTGTACATAGCTAGCTGCAGCTAGCTGCCCCAGTGTTCCGCCATTATCATCCACTATCAAGATCTATCAAGAATCTTTAAGAAGCGTGATACAAGAACCTGCATCAGCAATTAGGCTGAGAAGATTCCAACATATTCGAACAGGTCTCCTGTTTCCCATGCATTTGTGAAGCTGTGGTTTCTTGCTGCATCATCATGCATCATCTAACACGCCGCTGCTTTCAGACATTTAAAATTACAAAATGACATGCATCCTAGATCACCTTGTTCGATGCCAGGTTTTTGTCCCTGGTGCCACAACGGATATACCAAAAACTGCCATGCAAATCCTTGGGACGAATGAGTCACTAGCAGACACAGTTGATTCAGCTTAAACCCTGCATGTTACCACTGCATGGTCTGCTCCCATGTTGCAACATGTTGCAAAATGTTGCAAAGTCATGCGAATCTTGACGAATCTCTGTCACTACGCCTGCAGAGGCCGAGCCATCCACGCGTCGATTTTGAGAGTCACAAACGAGTCTCACGAGAGACAAATGTGAGACAAATGACACAAATGGAAAACAAATTAAAAACAAATGAAACAAGAAGAATCAGAGGAGAAGTCTTGGTTCAGAACAGCGGTTTGAATCACTTTGACCAGAGATGGCTGTGGTATGCTGTGGTAAATGAAATTGGATAACGGATCGTGAAAATTGAAATATATTGAAATTACTAGTATAGGTTTAAGGTAACATAGATAAGACGGCGTTTTTCTGCGTTCCTGTTGTGTCTCTCTGTTGTGAATGGTGTTTTCAAGATATGATTCGATCATGCGATCATGCCATCATAATTACAAGTCTTTGTAGTCATGTCAGTGTGATAAGTTTACACAGATCCAAGCAGTGTTCATCCTTTAGGTCCTGCGGAGTATAGCGCGAATACGGTTTTTCCCACAGGTGCTTGTTCTTCAACTATGCCATGAATTACGTGATGTATCGTGATGTCGTATATCAATGCATGCATACATACACAGATACATACATACATACATACATACATACATACATACATACATACATACATACATACATACATACATACATACATACATACATACATACATTACATACATTACATACATTACATACATTACATACATACATACATACATACATACATACATACATAATGTACATACAGTACATACAGTACATACATACATACATACATACATACATAATGTACATACAGTACATACAGTACATACAGCACATACAGCACATACAGCACATAGAGTACATACATACAGTACATACATACATACATACAGTACATACAGTACATACATACATACATACATACATACATACAGTACATACAGTACATACAGTACACACAGTACATACAGTACATACAGCACATACAGCACATACAGTACATACATACAGTACATACAGTACATACAGTACATACAGTACATACAGTACATACAGTACATACAGACATGACATACAGACATACAGACATAATCAATCATAATCAGACATACAGACATACAGACATACAGACATACATACATTACATGCATTACATGCATTACCTGCATTTTGTGCATTACATGCATTACGTGCATTACGTGGATTACATGCGTTACATGCAGTACATGCATTACATGTATGACATGCATTCCATACATTACATACATTGCATACATTACATACATTGCATGCATTGCATGCATTAAATGCATTACATGCATTACATACCTACATTCATACATACGTACGTATGTACGTACGTACGTACGTATGTACGTACGTGTGTGCGTGCATGCATTCATGCATGCATACATACGTATATACACCATATTGGACTACAATTGTGTTGCCTCTAGTTGTGTATTTTTTTTGCTTCTTGTTTGGAACTTGCCCAGTCCTGTGATCATGTTTCAGCAATTTGACGAGTCAGTCTTGCGTCTCTGCGTTTGGCACGTCCGCTAAACTTCCCTGCTTAATTTGTGAGCTGTGATTGCCAGCTACCTTCTGCATTTTGGGGTGCAGCAGCCTTTGCGGAAGAACCTGTACAATGAAAGCTTCTGCAGAAATTGCTGAAGCTCTGAACCTGGAATGAGGATGAAATGAAGCATGGCAATGCTACCCAACACATGACATGCCAAATGACAGTCACATGCCCCCTTCCGGTGTAAATCCTTCTTTGGGCTCTAGTCAACCGCTTTTGGCATCCACTAGATAATCTCCAATCCCTCCGCTTTCTGCAGTATCAACCAACCCAACTTCACTGCATCTTAAGTGACACTGAGTGAGTAATTCTGAATGATGTACTGCACATGCATTTTCCACATTTGGCTGTTTTGCGCACTCCTGTGTAGGTAGTTCTTGAGTATACATCGGGTTGTCACACCTGCAAGTTCGAGGAAATCCAATAAGATGTTGGATAGACTCGGTCCAGACAAGGCAAGCTTGCAGGTGCACCTGGCGTCAAAAAAGGACGATTGACTTCTAGACTTCTACCTGCTGATATTCACTGTTCTTCCATTACCTTGCTAGCTATGGAAAGACTATGCATTTGTGAGGTAGCCAGCTCCCACAGGATCCAAAGGAGAATAGTTTCTTGAACACATCGCCAAGAAGAAGTCGCGGTACTTGGATGGCTCTAAGGTTTCGCATGTCATTCAATTCTTGGGTTCTTTCTGCCATACGCTCGTTTGCACACCAACTTTTGAACCCGTCAGAATCTATCAGAATGCTCCCAGAGAGAGCAGGCGCTATGCAGAGAATCCTGCCCAATGGTAAAGGTTCAGAGCAAGACTGTATAGTTATGGTTATGTTTTGTATGATTATGAATTATCTAGCCGCGTTTTTGTGATTGTGAATTGAAGACGCCTTCGGACATCTCGCATGCGGATTGCTCACAGATCTCAATGCTTCTAAGTTGATATTGCATGATTTTACAGTCTAGCCCATTGTTGCACTGTGGCCAAAAGTGTTATTTAAAGGAAGCAAAGTTTGGCTAGAAGTATTAGTGGATCCTGACTTCAACCCGGAATCTGGTTGCATCAGCGGCTCAGAGAGGTGCGGTATGTCTTGATCCAACGCTCGCATGATTTCCTGCGTGACAAGGCCGTAGGTAAATACAAAAAATATCATGAAAGTCCATGGAATATCAATGTCAAAATATCATGGAATATTGCGAATATCAAGGAATTGATTTGGTGTTCAATTTGCCATGAACGGCGGCAAGCCTCACATAGTCCACCTGCGGTGTCAGACTCATACTGTTAGCAAGTAAGAGCTTTACATTACACCAGGGGCGTATGCTCCATTTAGAGGATTGCCAATGCTACTGCAAAGCTAGGCACGGAAGTGTGTGGAGTTGATGCATTTTGTGATATGTTTTCTTATCTTTTGTGTCTTGATGCGTCTTGTTTCTTTTCAGGAACAAGACCTGCAGCATCCTCCTGCAAAATATGGTCCATGCAGTCACCAGAAGGAATCAGATTTGGTGGACATTTGGTCCATTAAACTTTGGTGCTTCTGCAGAATCAACAATCTGTCAGATGCTAATGCTAAGCGCAGACACCGTTGTTTGCCCATGAATTCAAAGGGCATATACTTCTGTACATCCAGATATACACGTGCATATAATATATATATATGTGTGTGTATAGAGAGAGAGAGACTATATATAGATCTACAGATACCAACTGCCTAGTCTACAATCTACAATATGTGACAATATCTTCATGTTAATACAGGTTGTTCAACATCAACATACAAAACACCTTGATAAATAGAATAGCATACATAGTAACAATTAATAACATATGTTCTGTTCTGATCACACGCATCATATGTTTGAACATGCACACATATCTTGTGGTCAATGCAACATACAACATTCAGAATTCGCTGCTCCGCAGTACCTAAGTGCATTGCTTGGCGGTACCATTCAACCGAGACATTCAGTTGTTCAGGACAGCTGCCCCGGTTAGGACTCATACGATATCAGGGAAAAATCATCTTGATAGCCCTGAAAATCATTTCAGCACCATTTAGGTTGGGGGGGTCGTTTTTTAGGGGGCATCTAAATTCTTGATCAGCCCAACATGAGAGATTCAACAAAAATCACACAGTATCAGGGAAGAAATGATGATGATGATGATGACGACGACGATGACGACGACTTCGGTGCTGATGTTGATGAAGATGTTTTTTCCAACCACGGGCAAACGATGGCGCTTGACCGTAATGCTACTACTAGATACTACTAGTATATCAGATTCTACCCAGACAATGAGATGTTACGATTTTTATCAATCCATCCGCATCTGTTTTCATTTGCACTTTTAGATGCACGATTCCAATGCCACCTCAGTCCGCGTAGTGCAGGTGTTTCTGATTGCAGCATGCGATGGCCAGCCTTTGCCATATCATTTGTACCTGCCACGGCCCGGCAACTTTGCTGCTCGGCATGGTTTTGCGGGAAGTTTCATAGGGCAAAGTCATTTGGGACATAAATTCCTTTCAAAGTCTTGGTCTTGAAGCCGTCATGTTTTGGCCCAGTATACCTTGAACACCCCTTCTTTGAATGTGCTTGATGTGCGTTGATTTGATTTGCAGTGTTTCTGCAATATGTGTACAGCACTGTAGGACACATTCTTGCTGCCTGCAAGGGAGGCTTTCTGAAAGGAGGTACGAGGATTGACAAGGGCCAGATGAAACATCCTCAATGTAAACACTCTCAGTATCTCTCATTCATTCATTGCGATGAGTTTCACATCCGTGGACAGATCACTCAGGGCCAAGGGTGAAGCCGTTCTCGACGATGAAAAAGATCTCAGAACTGCCTTCCGTTCAGAAGAAACAAGTAGGACCGGAGGGGTTCAAAGCTTTCAACCTTTGCGCAGATCAACAAGATCTAACAAGGCCATCAAGGCTTAACAGCCCCGATTTATCCAGTTTGCTGCTACGACCCACTGTTAGTTGGGCCCGGTTGTGGCCATGAAAAGCTCAAGCGAAGGGTGGTCACTAGCTATTTCCAGTTTTCGGTGTCATCAAGTAGATTGCCTCATGGCTCATGCGAATCAGGGGGTTTACAGTATATGGTTTGATGCATTCAGTTGACTTGTTGCAAATGCATGGTTCCTCACCTCGTCCGGCTGAGCAAGGCACTTGTGACGTTCAAACTCATCAGGCAGTCTTTACATTTGAAATTGAGTTGAACCCATTCCATGAGATTCACAGTAGTTAATTGAACTATATTGAACTGGTTGGAAAGAATTGGAACGATTGCTGGGGGAGTTCAGTCGATTCAGTTTGATCAGTCAGGACACTTTGGTGTGGAGTGGGTCATCGGACGAAGACCCACAGAAATTAACGCCAGAGATGTCGAGCTCCCAAAGGACAGCCATTCGACAATTTTGACAAGGATAAGCTGTTTATTTCATGTTAACAACATTTAACCATAGACCAATGGACAAGTTATGATATGTGATGATATATGATATATGATTTATGTCGTCTTATGTCTATTTTTCGTTATCAAATTCTGTTTCCTGAGCTTCTGGGATTCAACTTGCTGTAGGTCAATGAGGAGTTGTAGATCGCTCACAGATCAACCAAGTTTTAGACCCTTCAGAGCTTGGCATGTTGCAAACATCAGGAGCCGTACAATCCTCGCCCCTACTTGATGGAATTCCGGAAATATCCTGGTATTGCGAGTGGCCTTGGAGCTGAATACTTCTACAGGGACGACCAAAGGAGCCTCTTGTCATCTCCAAGGAGCCTATGTTGGTGTTTTTTCTTATTGCACTGCAGAGTGCATGATAGTCAATCTATGCATCCAGAATATATCATTATACATCATTATACATCTATATGCAAAGCATTCTATAGGCCTGTGTGGGCAGGCCCGCCAACGCTTTGCTTTACCATACTCGTTTGCAATGCTTGTGGACTGTCCAATTGAGTTGCCACGTTCCGCTGGTCATTTGGCTACGGGTACGCGTGGTGAATAGATCTATTACTCTCGGACCTTGAACCCCTGGAAATCCCTGGAATCTTCTTTTTGGATCTTGTTTGCAGTGAAGAGACAGCATGCAGCATGCAGTTGCTTCTTGATGTATTCGGGTTTCCAACATTCCATCACTACCTTTTACCTTTACGAAGTTAGGAGCATTCCGTTCATATCTACTCTGGAGCTTGGCAAGTAGCCACCAAGCCCTTCGCCGCATTTCAGCCGTTTTGCAAAGGTCCTTTGACCTACTACCACCTTCGCAGCCCAAAGTCTGGTGACACGGTGCTTGTTGGTGCGACAGATCCTCGGGCAAGGGAAGCAAGAACGATCGACAACTACGTCAAGGACTGCGACTCTCCCAGGCACAAAAATATTACATGGGATAATTGGGATAGAATGCCACTGAAATGCCACTGACATATAATTGTAAGAGTTTTTTCTCTCTAGCTCAGAACCGCAACGCGCTGCTTGCAAAACCTCTCAGCTGAAGCTTAATTGCAAGTGCAAGTCGAGAACCATCGAATGCCAATGCCATATAATGCCTTATTGCAGATTACTGTACTGTGTATAATACTGCAGGTGAAGAACAAACTCCAGCATGCATGCTGCATGATTTCTTTAGTTACTCAAGTCACGTTCCAATGATGGTGGAAAGACCCTGATTTCAGTGACAGTCTCGCCAACATCCACACAAGAGAATTCAGTGAAAGCCGGACCACTTGACAACACACAAATTGAAAAATGTTGGGCTTTGCAGACGCCAGAAGGCCCATGAAGGCCCTATTTGCATTGACGGTTTTGTTTTCAGAGCCATCAAGATCCAAAGTTGCTGCACACTATCAGGAGAGGACAAGAGGTTTTGCAGTGCAGATCATTTTGGAAGGACGAGGCGATCAGCAAAAACTCAACAAAAATCAGACAATATGTTGTGGATGTTGCACTTGAAGAAGTTCTGAAAGTTGGTCTGTTCCGAACACTTGTGAAAATGCTTGTATAACTCAGAAGTCAATGAGAGTTCAGACGGCGAGACTGACCATGCAATGCACTCGCGACAACGTATGATACTATTTTGCTTTATACAAAATATGTGTCTTGCTGCTTGTTGAACCTAGATCTCAGTGCCTTGGAAGTAGTGGCAAGTCAGCCAGAAGCGTTCGAAGCTCACACCAAGAAGTGGAGTCAAAATGAGTCAAATGCAAGCGAGCATTGAAAATGGTCCGCCAGGTGTGAAGGCTTACTTCGAGCCCAAAGCCCCGTTCTTGAAGGTTCGAAGGGGATGGACACGTCAAAGCATCCTGAAGTGGGTGAGTCTTGAAATGCAAGGGTTTATGATGGTTTATGTAAGTTTGCTTAATCATAGTGAAGCCATGTAAGACCTACACCAAGCTGTTCACATGCAACATTACAAAGGCCCACAATCAATGAGTACAGTGTACACAGACAAACGGTGACTAACGTTTTTTTTTCTATCTTGTGGCAGAAAGAAAAGTCACTGGGAACAAA